TCTCATGTTGTGCTGCCGAAGTGCTGCCGAAATTTTCGCTGCGCACAACAAGTGGTATCAGAGCTCCGGGTTGGACTTGGGAGCTTGTTCGAAGGATTCGCTGTTGGATTCTTATTTGAAGAGTTAGATCTACAACATGAGTAAAACAAGCACATCGGGATCGTCTCTTACGAAGACGATACATAGTTTGAGCATCAATAACATGAAGATCGATGTTCCGAAGTTTAATGGCAAGATCATTTTCGACTTGTGGAGGTGCCAGGTGATGGATGCGTTTGACGCTCAAAACTTGGAAGAGACTCTTAAGTTGCAAGAAAAACCTACTAATATGAAAGAAAAGATTTAGAAGAAGATGAATAGTAGGGCGTGCGGAGTTATTCGGTCATGCTTGACACCGAATCTTATTTATGATATGATGAACGCGACGTTAGCGAATAAGATCTAGGAAACACTCAATAAAAAGTATCTTACTAAGAGCATTGAGAATCGGCTTCACTTGAAGAAGAGGTTTTACCAGTTTAAGATGAAGAATGGAGTTTCCATCAGGAAGCATGTTAACAACTTTACGAAGCTACTTTCAGACATGGCCAATATGGATATCATGGTTGAGGATGAAGACAAGACGATGCTACTTTTGTGTTTGTTACCCGAGGATGATTATGGTACCTTTATTCTCACTATGATTAATGGAAGAACTACTGTTAGTTACAAGAAGGTGACCTCAGCGTTAGTGAATTATGAGTTAAGGAAGAATGTTGATGAGTCCTCCGAGAAGACATCGGGAGATGCATTAGTAGTTTAAGACCGTGGTTCAAACCGAAGAAGGAGGTAGCAGTCTAGAGGTGCACATCGTGGGATTCGTAGGAATTAGTATGTTTTTTATAAAGAGGATGGACATTGGAAAGCTGAATGCCCAAAGTTAGATCGAGCCGATAAGAATAAGGGGAAAGTTGTACAAGCTTCAGAGGTGAAAGTTGTCAAGACAGTGACAACAATTCAGATTTGGATTCTTCAGGCTATTCGTTGTCTGTACTACCATCAGTTTGTGTTGCCATCTCTACAGAGTGGATGTTGGATTTGGGTGCTTCTTACCACGTTTGCCCTAGAAAGGATTGGTTCTCCAGCTTTCAGAAGTTGGAAAGAGAGGATGTTGTGCTCATAGGTAATGGACATGCATGCTCTATTGGTGGTATTGGTACCGTTCGGATTAGGATGAGTGACATGGTGATTCGAAAGGTGGATAATGTGAGGTTCGTTCCACAATTGAAGATGAACATCATTTCACTTGGAGCTTTAGAGGCAGCAGACTATAGGGTGACCTTGGTGGATGCACGCTTGAAGGTCACATTGGGGTCCATGATTGTGATGAAGGGCATCAGAAGGAGCAATTTACATTATTTACTCGGAAGCACGACGATTGATAGGGAGCTGACGACTTCATCAGATTCAGCTAGACTGTGACATTGTTTGATGCTGGGTTATTTGATTGGTAATGCCGTGCATAGGTTGTTGAGGAGTGGTCTGACCTGCAGTTTGAAGTCCTGTGAACTCATTGGTATAAGCAAGAAGATCGAGGTGGAGTTTGATACTTCTATCCATCATTCGAGGGGTCTTCTGAGGGGTGTTCATTCAGGCATTTAGGGGCCTTCCAAGGGAGCATTATTGGGAGGTAATAGGTATGTGGTTTCCGTAGTTAGGGATTGTTCTAGGCATTGGTGGGTTGCAACCAAGTCCCGTTGGTGTGAAGTCCTAGAAGCTCGCAACAGACGGAGGAAGTGTGTTGATAGAAAGGTAACCTGACGTTCTGATTATGGTAGGGATTCTTTCTTGTGTTTGTGTCGAGCTCACGACAATAGGAGACACTTCATTAGTGTGGAAACATTAAGGCGACGTGATGAGATGGCATATTTAGGGACCTGTTCCTTTCTAGAGGAGGATCAGCGTTTGATGTCGAGCATTGGCATTGGTATGCGGGCTACGACATATTTAGGTCATCTTATGCATAGGTTGCCGACTGCTGTATGTAAAGATTTTGGATCTGGTGGAGCTGCTTCAAATCTTAGGTTGCGTCGGATGTTTGGCTACCCAGCACTTGGTCACATCGTGGATGTGAGATTTGATCCGATAGCACATTTGGGAGTCAGAGATATGTTTGATTATCAGGTATTGGCTTCTGACTTTGTTCTGAGTAGGTATGTCATGTTTGACTCTTAGCAGGTAGAGAGTGGTGATCAGATCTTTAGGACATCGCAGCGGGTAGAGAGTGATGCTACTCCAGGTTGGGTGGAGACTCCAGATCATACTGCATCATTTAAGATTCTAGCTGATGTGACATAGATTGGGAATCATGTTGATTTGGATGCAGATGATAGGTTGATTGATTCGAGTGTAGCTGATAAAAAGAGTATGGCTATGGCCATTGGTTCATCTCAGGTGGAGATGTTTGAATTGTTTCAGTTTGGGGCCATTGGAGGTGCTATCAGCCGTAGACTTGATCGTGATGTTGGAGAAGAGTTACGAACTCTTCTAGTAGATTAAGACATTTGGAGGCCATTTGGATGAACTACGCGAGGCTTGATTCCTTGGGCAAGTGGATACGTAGGCAGTCATTTATGATGCAGCCGATTTGGGAGTTGATACCGACATTTAGAGAGTGTTTGCATTCTTATTTAGGTTCTCGACTTGTAGTGGATTAAGTCCATTGTCATGAATTGTTTTACTTCATACTGGACATAACAAGTGAGATATTTGTTTTGGTTAGTGTCAGTTCAGTTTTGGGAAAACTTCACTGAGGTGGAGAATTGTGAACCCACGTGAAAAGATCACGTTCTCAAAGAGCGTGGGTTGCTAAGAGATAGCAGACCGAGTGAAAGGTTGACGTGACTCATGGGGGCCACCACGTGAAGAGAGCCACAAATTCATCAGGAGTTTGTGAAGAGCCGCACATGTGAAACCGCGTGGGGGCCACTAATGTGAATCCGGAGAAGCGTCTCGTGATAAAACCGCGTGAAGAGCTATGTTCCACGTGAAAGAGAGCGGATTGTTCAGCAGTTCTTTGGGTCCACCCGATTGGATCTTATAAATACACGATGGTTCTTCTTAGGGTTAAGGTAGTAGGCAGAGGGGAGAAATTGATTTCGTGCAAGGAGCGGCTGCAGGCGGCGAAAGAGCATGCAGAGGGTGAAAAGAGAAATCTTGGGCGACGTGCAAACAAAGCAGAGGGCGAAAAAGCAGATTACTTTTTTTGGTTGTTTTGAAGAGGAGTTTTGTGAAGCGTCTTATAGGCTTTAACATCCCCTTTTGTGAGAGGTTTGAGAGATTGTGTGAGGGTTTAGATTGTGTGATTATAAACCCTAGTTGTATTCTCTTCCTCTAATAGTAGATCTTCCCCCTCCTTGCCTCGTGGACGTAGCCAATTTGCCGAACCACGTTAAAATTTGTGTTCTTGTCGTGATTTATAATAGCTTGTAGGTTCTCTTGGCAGGTCAGTCCTAGAACTGATGAGAGGAAGAGCTGATATCTCACTTTGTTAAGATATTTTACTTTCGGTTCTTGTTTTCTTTGTGAAACAGGGATTTAATTTAGATCTACTCTCTTGTTGTGCTGCCGAAGTGCTGCCGAAATTTTTGCTACGCACAACAGCAATTAGAAGAGGTTTAATCAGCAAGCAAATAGTGAATAAATTTCGAGAAGATAAAATATATAAACCTCTACAAGTTGAAGATCCACAAGGGAACTCAAATTCAGTATATATGTCCCTCAAATTTACCTTACAAATCTAAGAAATTCATAAAGCCCATGTAGGTCATTATTGTCATAATTTAACTTCCATGATGGTTCGCCACCCTAAGCACCACAAAACATACTATTACGGTGAGGGTAAAATGAGAATATAGAGTTTAGCAAAAAGATTAACAAGTTTCTTAAAATACCCCCATAGTTCACAATAATTTATGAAATCAGAAATCTACATCCCAAAAGTTCACATTAGTAACGATTAGTTCGATGATATCTATCCCTTCCTTTTCCTGTGTCATTCTATAATTCTGTGCGATTGTAAAATAAGATTGCAATCACTCAGAGCAAAGTGCAACATGCTCTCACCCCAGCTCCCAACGCTGAGCTGGCAGTGTGAGCCTACTGTAGACGGATCCAGCAAGCTCCCTAGATGGGGCCTTGAGCTGGCATGACACAGAGCCTTGGAGCTTGTGCCACAGAGCTCCCAAGCGCTCCACAAATTTGTGTAGCTTGGGAGCTCCTAACTATTAAAAAATTATTATTTACAAAAAACCCCCTATATTTGAACACAGAACCTAGTCTCGAAATGACTGTTTAAAAATTAGCCGTTGAGATTTAAAAAATTGGCATGAACAGTAAAAAAATTCTATAAATTCTCAATTCACTATACAAATCATTCCACACAAATCTCTAATAAAAAAAACTCTATATTTTCCTATCAAATTATTGTACTCGCATCGCATCCTCATTAGTTCTTCCTAATTATCAAATATTATCTTGTAATAGATTTATGATTGTACTAGCAATTGCTAATTTTGGCACTGAATGAATACAACTGCTTTATTAATATTTTTTCATTTCCGTGTGCGCTCTCTCGAAGGTCGTATCCAACGGTTAGAAATGAAATAAAAGAGGTTTAAATATAATTGAAAGTAATGAGTAAAAAAATTAAAATAGAAGATGAGTTTTTATGATATTGTTGGAGCTCCTAACTAGGAGCTTGCTGGAGCTCCATAAAATAAGGAGGGCCTCCCAAGACTTATTTTTTTAATTTTTTATTCCAAAATGTTTAGAGCTCTTGAGAGCTTGCTGACTAGGACTCTTAACTGGGAGCTTGCTGGACTTGCTCTCAGTTAGCCTTGAAAGTTGATAGGGGGTTTTCTGAAAAATCAGAGTACATTCTGTTGTCGCTATGAACTTTCCCATACAAAACCCGAACCCAACAAAATCGGGTCAAAATCTTTTCTCAAGAGAAACATCCGGGTCCGAAATCATAAGACCCAAATCGAAACTTTTCTCCCTCTAACCCAGTTTCCTCTTTAAAACCTGAACCCTCACTCTTCGAGCTCCATCGCTCCAAAGGCGCCTCCTTTCCTCTCCTAGCTAAAATCTCAGCAACCCCGAGCACATGGGTTTTCTTCTCAAAGCTCCACCCACCAACTGTTCGATGTAATTCCCCTGAGAAAAACTCTCATGCTGTGGCCGCCAGATGATTTGCGCTTCTCACAAAATTTGTGGGCATTCTCGATTTTTGATGGTAAAGTCACTCGCACTCTCCTTTTCTTGCTTCTCCTCCAAAACCCAGATCACAAATTCATCAGAATCTCGCGAAGTCTCCAACTTGTTCAAGTTGCCGTCTCCTTCGTTCGCTGTATCATCTCGCAGGCTTAAGAGAGTTTTGAGATCCAATAAGTGGTCAGAGTCAGTAGAGATGGAGCTGGGTAAGCTTAATGTACAATTGAATAATTATGTGGTTAATCAGGTGTTGAAGAGCTTGTCGGATTCAGAAATGGCCTTCCGCTTTTATCTCTGGGTCGAATCCCGCCCGGGCTTTAAGCATGACCACTTCACCACTAAGTCTATCATCGTTTTGTTGCTGAAAGATCAGAACTTTAATCTTTTATCCCAAGTTTTGAGTAGAATAAGAGAGAATGGGTTTTCGATGCACCGTTCTTTGTATAGGATTCTTGTATCTGGTTATGTCAAAACCGGCATGTTTGATCATGCGATAGTTACTTTTGATGAGATGGTTGAGTCAGGTTGTCGAGTATTTAGTGTAGATTACAATAAATTCATTGGTGTATTAGTTCACAATTGTTGTTTTGATTTGGCGGAGAAGTATTACGATATGATGATCCCGCAAGGGTACTCATTGAGCTGGTTTACTTACTCAAGATTCATTTGTGGATTATGTAAAGTAGGGAATATTACGTTAGTTGAGAAGCTGTTAGATGATATGAACGAAACAGGGTGTGTTCCGGATATTTGGGCATATAATACATATTTAGATTCTTTGTGCAAAGAGAAGAGATTAGATTCTGCTATTGGAGTTTTGAACACTATGAAGAAGAAAGGAAGAGAGCCTGATGTTGTTACATACACGACAATCTTCAATGGTTTGTGTAATGTTAGAAGATTCTCAGATGCGGTTGAGCTTTGGGATGAAATGGTGAAGAAGGGATTTAGACCTGATGTTGTTGCTTGTCAAGCATTGATCTTTGGTTTGTGTAACAATGGAAAGGTCGAGATAGCTTTTGAGATAATGATGGGAATGATCAAGGATGAAATTAAGTTGACTGTTTCAATTTACAATGCTGTAATAAGCGGCTTCTACAGAGTTGGCAGCTTTGACAAAGCCCAAAAAATTGATTCTTTCATGCGAAGGAATGGGTGTAAGCCTGATGTTGTTACGTATAACATCCACTTGAATTATTATTGTAATAATGTTATGTTGGATGAAGCTCATAATTTGATGGATATAATGGAGATGGAGGGCATAAATCCTGACAAGTACAGTTATAATCAGCTTCTGAAAGGCCTTTGCAAGGCCAATCGGCTAAGAGAGGCCTATGCTTTGATTGCTACTGAGATGGAGGGCAAAGGATTTTGTGATGTCGTTTCTTGCAACATTCTAATTGAGGCTCTCTGTATGGCAAGGAATGTGCAAACTGCATATAAGTTATTCGAAGAGATGGGTCGTAAAGGAATAGATCCAGATACTGTGACATATGGCACTCTCATCAAAGGGTTCTTCATAAAGGGACATCATAAAAAAGCTAAGGAACTTTTTGATCATATGGTTAATGCTGGGGTAGCCCCCAATGTTAATGCATACACTACTATGGTACATTACTTATGCAAGTCTGGCCGTGTAGACTTCGCTTGTAAATTATTCCATGATATGATTGAAAAGGGTATCTCTCCTGATGTAGTTTCCTACAGCGCTCTTATAAATGGGCTTTGCAAAGCTTCTAGAGTGACAGAAGCTATGGATCTGTATGAGGATATGAGCAACAGGGGCTTGTCTCCAGATAACTTGACATATACATTATTAATTGGAGGACTTCTACAAGAGAAGAAGGCGGTGTTGGCCTGTAGGATCTGGGACCATATGATGGAGAATGGCTTTACTCTGGACAAGATGATATCAGAAAGACTGATTAATGCAATGAAGTTGAGGACTTCATAAGTATGAAACTTAGAGAAGGTACAATACATTACCATTAAGTTTATGAATTCACCTGGAAGTATTTTTTATGTGAATGCAATTCTTTTGTAGCCTTGAGGAAATCAGACAGTCAATTGCATGTGTGTCTGATCTCCTCTCACCTTGCAGAATCTGCGAGAATAAAATTGAAAAAGACGTGGTCAGCAATGCACCAACTTTGAGAAGATGCGGCATCTTCTGTATGTGCTTTCTTGGTACAAGAGAAGGCTCATGAGGTTTGAACTCTGGACCTTGTTTGCATAAAGCATGATATTTTCTTTGCCCAATAGTGACTTGCATACTTCAATAAACCCTTTAGAGATCTTTGTCTATTATACTGCCATGAGTTCAGACAAAAAATATTTAAGTTGTGATATTGGTTGTCACTTAGATGGAGTATTGCACCCCTCTTCTGCACGCGTGCGCGTTTGCATGTGTGCTTGTCCGTGTTGGGGAGGACATGACCGTCACTATGACCGTTTTTGTCACCGTTGATTACTTTTTTCCAGTATAATAGGGTCGGATTGGGAAGACACAAAAGAAATATTGACCAAAATTACGACCAGTTATGATCATTTACCTGGCCAAACCTTCAGAGTTCTTGCAAACCCCTGGAAATTATAGGAGTTCAAACCTAGAAGGACAGTTATCTCTAGGAGCCAACTTCATTGGTCATGAAGTTTTGGACACAGACAATCAAGGATAAATCCTGCTACACTTTTTGATAAGCAAAGCATTAGCTAATGAGGACCCTGGGAGAATATAATACCTGCTGTGGGGAATTGCATACGCTGTTAGGCACATATAAGCCAAAGGATTAAAACTAGATGCATCCCCACGCCATATATGCAAAAACTGGAAAACTATACTACAAAGATTTGGAGCCTTTTTCTATAAAGATTCTAAATAATTCGTACAACTAAGTGCCACCTTTTCATGTCGTAAACCGTCTAAAACATACCACACTTGCTAATTAACACAACCTTGTTTCATCATCATAACTGCAATCATGGACAATACTTTCTATAGATATAACCTAGCATAGATCTCAACAAAAAAAAGGAAGCTTCTTTATTTGACTGAAACCAAGATCGCTATGACTTTCTATGTAACATGCCATTGGTGCCAACTTTGTGCTATCATACGGTGCAATTCTATAGTTCATGAATTGAGCTTAGGATAAACAGATGTGCCATTTATTTGCATAATTTCTTTTCCAAATTAAAATCTCATCCATATGGCAAAAAGCTGCTCAGCAGTGCAATGGAAAAATGTCCCAGATAGGAGCAATGGAGTCACTTTTGGGAGCGGCTATGCATTGTGCTATCATAAAGAAAAAAAATGTACTAATGATGTAAGAAAGAAACTATTGCTAGTTCATAATAGAAGCGGTTCTTGACAGCACTTATCAGAGAAAGAAGGGCCATGTAGCTGAAACCGAAAGGATAAGAGCCTGATCTTGTTGAAATTTGTTTGCTTACAACTTATAGTAGTTGCGAGCAAATGCTCGTCAATGCTTTTTTCTATTATTAGATTTGCTAGAATAGGCTTTTAGAAATTGGCAGCATGTTTCTGGACACCTCAAATTCTGAGATTTAGATGTCCTGGACGCTTGAATACACTTGGGACTAAACTTCGTATCATAGTTTCACCATTCTACCGCAACATTAGAGCTTCTTTTGCAGATATGAAGCATAGATTGTATTGAGCAGACGTCTAAATTGATTTATTACAATTAGTAAAGTGGATAAAATTGGTTCTTAAACCATTCATGCACAGGACACTTTACTTAATGCCCTTGAGGACACTTCATAGTTATTCCAACTGCATGTGATATAGTACTTTTGCCATTCTGCTTTGGTATTCGAGCACTTTGGCGGATGTGAAGCATAGGTTGTATTGAGCTGAGGTCCAATTTGAACTTTTTTCACATTGCAGACAATTGATTAAGTGGATCAAATTGGTTTTTCTAGAATTCATGCTTGGACTCTTTAGGATACTTGCATATGAGACGCTCCCGATCCAAAAATTAGCTATGAGAGATTCACCCGTCATTCTACTCAAATATTGTGTTTAGAAGAATTTCTTGAGTAATATATGGATACAAATGAGTGCAAGTTTTTTGATCGAATGAGCACATAAGGATCATTTTAAAGTTCCATTATGTCTTGCAATACTTAAAAGTTTTTCATGAATGGAGTTCAAGGTCTTCTTCCATATTTATAGACTCATCTAAGATCCTCATTAGCGTAGACTCCTAATTCTTGTTTAAAAGTTTTACATTGTTTGGATTGGATTGGAGAAATTTTTTTCTTTGGGTAAATATGGGAGTCTGAGATCTTACTTTCCATGTCCTTTACTGTCATTCTATTGCTGTTGATTTGTGAAAATATTCAAAGTTCCTTTACATGACGCAGAAGGAGTTAAAAATGGGCTTCTAGTCTACAATGCATGAGAAAGGATTTCGGTCTGTTATTGCATGGTTCAAAATGAGTATCCTAAATTGTTTTGCTGTGTGGTTCTAACTGATTTAAACTTTGCAATCTTTGACAAGGGATTCTGTAATTGTAGTTTTCTAACTTTGTATCTGAAGTTGTGGTCTTTATGTTTCATTTTTGACATTTGGTCCAATTCTTGTGTTTTCAAATAAAGGAAAAAATAAAAATAAAAAATGATAAAAGGCTCATCTTTTGGGGGTATGTACTAGTATTTTGGCCCTTGCAAAGCACGAGCTAGTGTTGTTATCTGTTTTTTGTAACCTTTATGTTGTTTATCGTTTGAGCAATTGTTGTGGAATTCCTACAACAACAACCACCACCACCACCAAGTCTTTATCCCAAATGTTTAGGGTCAGCTACATGAATTCTATTTTTCCATTCCATTCTGTTATGGGACATTTCCTCCGTTAGGTTAGTCTTAATCATATTCTTCTTAATTATTTCTGACCAAGTCATTCTAGGTCGACCTCTAGATCTTTTAGCCCCATTAACTCTAATATTATCACTTTTCCTAATCGTTGCACTAAGGAGTCTCCTTTGTACATGACCAAACCATCTTAATCTATTCTCTCTCATTTTATCCTCAATAGGCGTAACCTCTAATTTACCACAGATGCACTTATTTTTTATCTTATTTTTTAATGTATACCCACAAGACCATCGTAACATTCTCATTTCTATTACACTCATTTTTTAAACATGTAGTTTTTTAATTGCCCAACATTCTGATCCATAAAGCATAGTTGGTCTTATAACCATCCTATAGAATTTTTCTTTAGTTTCATTGGTATTCTACGATCACATAAGACTCCGGAAGCACTCCTCCATTTCAACCATTCCGATTTGATTCGATACTAATGTTTTCAAAGGCACGCGCCTCATGCGCCTTACGATGCGGGGCGGTGGCTAAGCGCCCCACTTCTGATACAACGTCTTTTGCGTCTCACGTATATCATTATTTTGTGCAGGGTGTATGTAGTACATATATTCATACAGTTTTATTTCTTAAGATTTCAATCGAGTCTTTATACTTGATATTACATATCCCAAAAAGCGAAATGAATCCATTAGGCCTTTTTAGTAGCCTTCAATTGAGGATTATTACTAATCCTTTGCTTGGATATTAGTCTTGATTTAACATTTGATTTGAAAATTTATGAATTTTGCTACTATGTTGGGTATTAGCATTAGAAATTAAGGCATTATATTGTGATTTTGTAGTAAGATATTATTTATCATGATATTTTTCATGTGAATTCTAAAAACATGTTCTTTCGCGCTTGATTATATATTTTAAAAAATTATGTGGGCGGTGTGCGTCTCGCATCACTTGGGTGCGCGCATCGCATTGCGCCTTGCGCATGTGCACTTAAAGATGCTTTGCACCCCGCATTGTGCCTCGCGCATTGATAACACTATATGCACAACATCATCCTCTATCTCACCATCATGCCTAATGATAGATCCTAAATAGCGAAAATGATTAGTTATGCACAACATCATCCTCTATCTCACCATCATGCCTAATGATAGATCCTAAATAGCGAAAATGATTAGTTTTAGGTATTTCTTTCCTCTATCTCACCATCATGCCTAATGATAGATCCTAAATAGCGAAAATGATTAGTTTTAGGTATTTCTTTAGTTTTAGGAATTCTTGTTCTTTTTTAATCTTTGTTAACTTGTTTTTTATTTTAGCTTATATCTTTTGTTTTGTTTCCTTAAATTCAGTATTGTTTTTAATTCAAACAATTGTTCATTAGTTTCAGTCTCACATACCTATCATCTATTTTATGTTTCCTTTAATTTTACTAAGTTTGATACCTATTTTTTTTTAAAACATAAACAATCAACAATACTAAATAGATAACTCTATGAACAACTAATGTATTTGAAATAATTGAGATTACCTTTAGATACCAAATGATAGAGAATAATGTATGATAAATCCAACATATATTCCAAATACAATTCATAGACTTAAATGTTGGATAAATTCAACATATTTTCCAAGTAATAGTTAAATATTTAGGGATGGTTAGGGGTGAGCAAACGGTCTGTTTGATTAGCTTTAAATGTTTTCGATTAAACCGAACCGAACCAAACGAAATTATTTCGGTTTGGTTCGATTGATGTTTTCGGTTGATACAAGCACCACCAAGCATTATGGCAGCAACCAGAGAAGAAGATGCTCTCATCATGGGCACAAATAGAATTATATATATATATATTATATATATATATATATATGTAGAGAGAGAGTGTGTGTGTGGGTGTTTGATGTCCACTAAACTTCCTAGTCACTCATTTATTTATATATATATATATATATATATATATATATATATATATATATATACTATATATAATATATATATATATATATATATAGTAAGACTCTTATCAACTTAAGTTGATGTCCACTAAACTTCTAGCCACTCATTTATTAATATAAAAAATATTTTCATATCATGCAAGGATCCCTAGGTAATATGTAGTGGCTAAAAAGTTTGGTGGATAATTTTTTGCTATCCATTTAAGTTGATATAAGTTTTGCTCTCTCTCTCTCTCTCTCTCTCTATATATATATATATATATATATATATATTATATATATATATATATATATAAAAGGGAAGTACAAGAAATGGAAGAAACTTAAGAGTGAGATTGTAATTTATTTTTATAGCTATCTTGGATTTGTTGGAAAGGAACAGCCATAACTAAGTTTTGAACTCTGATTGCCCCCCCCCCCCCAAAAAAAAAAAAAAAAAAAGTATGACATCTAGTTTTGAGAAGCAATCACGTAGGTTCATTTAGTAGGCTCCACCGCAAAGGGTAACAGAAATGTGTTCATCGAACATGATACCGGGTTCTCATTGAAAATCTTGACGACAGGCACTTTCAACAAAGGTTCGGTCGGTTCAGTGTATTCGAATGTAAAGATGAGTAACCTGACCCTAGTCGAACTGAATGCAAAACCGAACTGAATTGCTGAAAAGCGACTGGTTCGGTTGGTTTTATTAATTTGAACCGGAATTTGCTCACACCTAGGAATGAGAAAGGTATTGCATTTGACCGTAAAACATTTTAGCACAAATGGATGCAAATAACAAATGTCCATAAACAATTAGTAACCGAATGCTGCAAAACATAAAAATGACTGATAATAATGCATGCATTTCATATTAAATACACACAAGGATTAGCAAAAATATCTGGATCAAATTAAATCCAACAAATTTAAGAGTGTATAATCATCGACAGTGTCCATAACCTATTAAAGCTCCAAAACACCTGTTAATTTTCACCAACTTCAAGATCATCTTCCTGAAACTTTTTCCCTCGCCTTCCTGAAATTCTTAACTCCTTCGCCTTCAAGCAAAACCTTTTTGTATTTTGTGATGCCTCCATGGCAGAACATAACTCATGCTTCTGGCCAAAAGCACTAAAGCTATTCAAGTGTGGTTCTAATTGATTTAAAATATGTAATATTTTATTATGAATTCTGTAATTTTAGTTTTTTTAATTGTTTTAATTTTTATCCAAATTTATGGTCTTTAACTTTCATTTCTTACATTTGGTTCAATTCTTAAGCTTTCAGATAAAGAGGGGGAAAACTGTAAAAGGTTTATCTTTTAGGCGATGTATGTGCATTAGCACCTTTAATCAAAATCTTCCTAATATAGTGCAGCACTGTATGTGATCTTACCTCTAAAACTCCCCATGGTCCACAGTTAATTCACTTGGAAAGGCAAAATAATAGGAGTTATTTTCCGTTGCCAATTATGTGATGTGATGAACTCACTACCTCTTTTAATAATTTTAAATGAAAACTTGTGCCCATGCTCCAAAATAAAGTTTCCCATGTGACTTAGCCCAGTTGAATTTTGGGCTTGTGCTTAGGCCCCAAATACAAACTTTTAGTGTAATTAACCCCTTATATCTCATTATACGGTTACATGTTATGAGAGAGGCAAAGTGAATTTTTTTCTCAAAACTACCCCCATCACATTAATGGGCTATCAGTGAAGAAAACTTCTGTTGTAACTGTACCCATCACCATCTCTCTGCGCCCTCTCCTCTCTGATTCGAAATTCCAACAGAGAGAAATCCCCTCATCCCCCTTTCTTCCAACTTCCTCCTCAAACTAGGGCTAGGGTTTTGAACGTGAAAGAATGACCGAAATCTCTAGGCCAGAGAAAAAGAAATGCAATTGCCCTAACAAGGAAGTAAATGATGATGATTTCGAAGTCGACCAGTGCTTGAAATGTTCAGATGAGGCTGCGGCTGAAGACGTCCCAAATGTCGTCCTTGTAATTGTAACTCCCCCAAGTCCCCCTTTTATTTGGGTTGCCTACTACTGACGCTAGAGAATCTTACCCACTAGAGATCGGTCATGTTTCCCCGTAGTTGAAGAATGATGGTGAGGACCCACTGTCGAACAACGATGAGGCGACAAAGAACAATGACTTCATATGGTCTTCGGATGATGGTAACATTGAAGAAGCTACTAGGACACTATTGAGCATGCAAAATGCAGAACCGATTAGTAAAGAGGAGAAGCGAGCTTCGACAGATGGTGTTTCTAGAAAAAAAAGAAGTTTGTGTTCTTAATTTGGCATAATGGGTCTGAAATGTAGTCTTACATGTATATACTACTGGGAAGAATCCCGCTTCAACAAGGAGTGTGAATATTGTAGTATTACATGTGTGTGTGTGTCTATATATATATGCTATCGAGTTTAAAATTTAGTCCCTTAATGTCAATTTTGTAACATAACTATCAAGTTTAGACAAATCTTGTTAATTCTAAAATCGTATCGCTAAACTTATTCTTATATTGATAATTTGTTGTGAACCTGTCAGTTAGTTTAGTTCAATATGAAAGTTAATAGCTTACTGTTATGTTTGAATCATATTGATGAAATATAAAAGTTATAGGTTAATATATGCTAATGCTACTCGGAAGAATCTCGCTTCAATAGGGTGTGTGAATATTATAGTATTATCTGTATATATGGTATTGGGTTTGAAACATTATTCTGGAGAGTATTTCATAATAAACTGCATATGCTCTTCGATCTATTTATTCAAATTCTTGTATATAATCAGTCCATTTTGTACGGTGTATTTATAGCATATTGATTATAACAGATGTGTGTATCCTTCGACTTCAGTCCAACATCCCTAAGCTTCAATCCGAAGTTCTTTATAAGTTGTAGTATGGATATGGAGTGAAGGGCCTCTGGAAAAAAATTTCTCACAGCTTCTCTAATGCCCTTGTTAGCATAAGATACTATGACTAACTGGTGAGGAGAATTGTATGGTTCACTCCTTTCATAAAGTATAGATCATAGTCCTTGTAAAAACTAGGTCCGATCTTTTGTTGATCTTTATTTGTAGTTAACAAAAATATCCTCTGATTGTCGTCATATGCTAAGGCACTCAAAAGAATCCTTTTGTATCGATCTTTCAAAAAAGTCATGTCCAAAAAAATGAGGGGCTACATCCAGCTGAAATCATTTATGCAAGCATTGTAACTATGAATCCTTGAAAACCTTCTTACAGTTCAACAGCAATATAGCTACTAGGATTCATCTCCCTTGCCACGTCTTCATACCTAGGACCATGCAAAATAATTAAATGTTAAAAAATTTATATTATTACATCAGAATTTAATGCATAAATCATATAATTAACACCTAGAGAATATATTCAACAACTAATCATCTAATAAACAGATTTAACAACTTATTCTTAAGCTTGTAGTTCTATATATATAATTAACAGCTAATTGTTGAAGTTAACAAATAACAATGGCCTTTTAATTTTATAAGTTAAAATATAAATTTAGTAATCTTAGGTAAGTTTTTACTATCTATGTTGATCTTATGCCTCATAAGCATCACCATACTTCTCTTCTTGAGCCCTCTCTCTACCCCACCATATCTTAGTGTATTCAATCCTAAGGCCATGTTGCAAGAGTATCTTTTATATATCATTTGGGTGGATATTTGACTGAACTTCAACATTGACTGTAATTCTGCAGCGATGAATCGGCGTGATGCCCTAGATGACTAGTGCGTTTTTGCCATGTTGGCTACATGTGTGCTAGTCCACGAACTTCTTTATAACAAGTTTCGTTACATGCTTCTCAAGAGAAGCAAACAACATCCAAGGGCAGCTATTAATGTACTTATATCGGCAAGCTACTCGAACACGTCTTGGTTCCTTCTTCTCAGAATCATATTCAAATTTCTTTGCAATTGAAAAGTATTGTAATGCTAATCTTAGCTCTTTTCCACAGTCAAATTGTTGTCCAACTTCAATTAGCCCAGTGTGCCACCATGAAGGAATTTTTCCTGTATCGTTAATCATATCCTCCATCATCGTAACATATTCACCAAGCGGGTTATCATTAGGAATATGTTCCGAAGTTGATTTACTAGCGGGTGTTGGATCTGAATATTGATAATTCAATGCAGGGAAAATTTTGTCGACATACAGATTATAAGGTAGATGAAATAACCAATACAAGCATACTAATTTATGGGTTAATTAACAACTAAAACATATGTTTAACATCTATTAATTTAAGTTAACACCCAGAACATTAACATCTTTGATTTATATTTAACAGGAATATCTTACATTTAACATGTGCTACATAAAGTCAATATTTTTTACGGAGAACAAACAACTTTCTCATAAGTTAAATGATAACTTATAGGTTTTGTGGTTCTTTTGGGGTGTTTTGGGTACTGTAAGTCTCTTTATCTACAGTAGCATAGTAGCGTAAGATTGATATTTGTAGATCTTATGTTACGAGCATGTTCCACCGTACACTTCAAATCATCATTGTTTTCAATGAGAAAACTGAGATTACATTATCTTTTAGATTTATATTTCAAGGATAAGGCATCATATGGGACTTTCAGTCTCTCCGACACATCAAACTTCATTTCAAGAAAGGTCGTTCATGAATTTACCTTTCGAAAACCAGCATCTTCTCCTAAGGAAATCACACATATGAGAGGTTTCTCCTTCATTTATGGAGTGTTGAAGAATAAATAAGAGAAGTTTAGGACCTAAAACATGGAGCTCCTCTCTTTATTATGAGAGCAATAATGGAGGGAAATATCAAAATTTCCCTCCAAAATCCATCTCAGTCTATGTATAATCAACCGAGATCACTTCGCATTCAATTCGATGGAGATATACTGCCCACGAGCGTGTGTACATTGTGGAGGCGGAGATTCCGCAGATCTTGGATAGGGGGAATGGGGGGGGGGTAGTCTGGGGATTTGAAAAATATACAGTATACAATTTGTATACCGGTGAGGCGGGGTGCCTAACAACATTGATTCTTCTATTTTGGGCCTAGGTACAAGCCCAAAATTTGGCTAGACTTAGTCATATGAGAAACTTCATTTTGCGATCTGGGCATAATTTTTCCGTTTTTAAATTGTATAATGTAACTCAGTACCTCTTGAAACTTACATTGTAAATTTCATATCAGATAACCATCGTGCCAAAAAGCTTGAACTGACAGCAATGTCTAGTAAATGGATCCAACATTTTCCAAATTTGTAACTTGGTACATTTTGCAGGAAGGAGGTGAAGGAGATACCGACATATTTTTTTATGGATACTGCAAGGGGATTACCCACTCTGCAAGGTACGACTCATGCTTTCTAGATTGTCTTAGATCCTTGATAACTTTTTGGTCCTCTTCAATTCTCATGCTGCTAATTGTCGATCTGGCACATTGTAGTCGGTTGTCATTTGATACAATTATGAATACAGAGTTGAAACTTTTAGGTGTTGGTGATTTTATCCTGGACTAGACTGTGTTGACTATAAAATCGACCTCTTTCTTCAAATTCCAGCAATGCTCTCTCTTTAGGAAGACTTGTTTTTTTGATAGGATTCTATTCTGGATTTTGTACTGCAATGCAATTTAAAAGATCAAGGAGTTGAAAATTTCATTGTTCTCAAATTTACAGCTTACATGTGTTAGGTAGTCACTGCGAGTTCTTCTGAACTAACTACTATTTGTTATCTGTATGTTACATCACTCAAAGTGTATATCCAGCTTATTATGTTTTCAGTTTGGCACAAGTTTCAATACATTACTGACTGCTGTCTCCCTTTGCATTTTCAGTGCACAAAAGCAAGCAACAGGCGCAAGCATTGAAATGTTGTGGATAATGAACATCATTGCAGTATTGTCCAGGCCCTAACGAGATCGCGGTTTTACTGGTGCTAATCTTTTGAAATCTTAACTGCATGAAGATTGAATTTACATTATTTGCCTTGTCAATGCCAAACAAATAAATTAATAAATGCGTGAGGAAAGAAATAAAACGACATATAAATTACAGTGAGACTATGACGGAAAGATTGCTTTTACACATTGGAAATTAACGTTGCAATACTGTATTGATGTAATTGTTGGATTTAATCTAATAAATCTATTTGTGGGCACATATGATTAATCAATGTGTATTGCTATCTTTCAGGATAACCCACTGAAGTGATCAATTAAGTTGGGTTAATGGGTATTTAAATATAATCATGGGGTTATATGTGCAGATACCAGGTTGTAATTGTGATTTATTGAGGGGCTAAATTATAAAAGTACAACATTTATAAATAAGGGGTTATGGTCTCTAACCTAGGGTTACACTCTCTAATTCTCTTCACCCCCATCTAGAGAGAGAAATTCGGATTTAGAGAAACCCTAAGGTTAGAAGATCATTGAAACCTAAATCAAGATTTCTTCTATGGATTCAGGTATAATCTTCCGCACTCTTTTGATTATTGTTAATCTCTTTAAATTAATCATGGCTATATGGTTTTAGATCTTAAGTTTTGGTTTAGATCTAACAAGTGGTATCAGAGTCACCTTGATTAATTCTTAGGGATTTTAGTTTTATTGGGTTTTTTGATCTTAAATCTCTGGTTAAAGATTCAGTTTTGTTTTTCGGATGAACAATAAATTTTTGTTCGGATAAACAGTAGCGAAAATTTTTCGGATAAACAGTAAAGTTTTTTGGATGAACAGTAACTGAAAAATCACCGGTGAACAGTAACTTTTTGGAATTTTTTGGATTTTTCGACGTTTTTTCTTGGATCTGGATCAAGAAAACTCATTTTTTGATTCTAGATCTGTTTTTGTTTTAATGGCTGCGGTTTCAGTTTGAAACCCTAAGGGTTCGTGCGTGAAAACATGGCGAACATTAAGGAGGTGGTTACCTCAAATTTTGGCGAAGCGGTAAGCTTCAAACGAACCTCGTGTTCGTTCAATTTTAACCGAACTTCGCGTTCAAACGAACTTCGCGTTCGTTCTATGGTGAGCCTCGCGCTCAGTTCTAAGGTGAGTCTCGCGCTCAGTTTTCAGTCGAACCTCGCGTTCGTATTTAAGTCGAACCTCGCGTTCATGCTTAAGTCGAACCTCACGTTCGTGCTTCAGTCGAACCTCGCGTTCGTGCTTCAGTCGAAACTCGCGTTCGTACTTAAGTTGAACATTGCGTTCATTTTTTTTAACGAACCTCGCGTTCGTTCTCAAAGTTGAACCTCGCATTCATTTAATTTTTTTAATTTAAATCTAATTTGGTTTTTAATCAATTATTTAATTCAAATATTATGACACTAATGAATTAAGGTTGTCCATCACTCCAATTGATTAATTAAAACAAGAAGTTGCCAAAATAACCTCTCTTGTGTAGATTGTTCATGAGGAATGTGAGATGTTTGTGTGTATGCTTTCGTGTAAATATTTAATCGGCCCAAAGGAAGGTTAATATTTATTTAGACTGTATACACATCTGCGATGATAAGCGTGTGACAATTATAAGGTTTACATGTGAATAATGAATCGATCCAAAGATAGTTTCATTATTTGACATGAGTTATTGTCAATGTTTGATCATTGCAACAAGGTATCTCTTACAAGTTAATATTACTGTCCAAAGACTTGATATTAATGTTGTGCCCGCTATCTTGGATGAGGATTGTCATTATTTGAATTTTATTGATTATGGTTATTGATGTGAGCATTTTTGTTTTATTTCAGCTAATGCATCTGCTGCAACAATTTCTGCTAACATCAACTCAAATCCTATGCTAAATGAGATAAATTTTAAGGTTTGGAAAGAGAACATATTAATTGTTCTTGGTTGCATGGATCTTGACTATGCATTAAGAACTGAACAACCCCAACCTCTCAATGTGGATAGCACTCCTGATGCAAAGAAGGAGCATGAGAAGTAGGAGCGTTCAAATCGCATGAGTCTTATGACCATTAAGCGCGGCGTTCCGGAAGCCTTCAGGGGCATAAAATCCGAAGGGATTACTAATGCTAAAGATTTCCTTGCCGAAATTGAGAAGCGTTTTGCGAAAAACGATAAGGTAGAAACAAGCACGCTTTTAGCTCGCTTGATTTCAATGAAGTATAAGGGCAAAGGAAATATCAGGGAGTACATTATGGAAATGTCTCATATTGCTTCAAAGCTTAAGGCACTTAAACTCGATCTTTGTGACGAGTTATTAGTGCATCTGGTTTTGTTGTCTCTTCCTGCACAGTTTAACCAATTTAAGGTCAGTTATAACTGTCAAAAGGAGAAATGGACTCTAAATGAGCTCATTTCATACTGTGTGCAAGAAGAAGACAGGTTGAAGCAAGATAAGACAGAAAGTGCTCATTTGGCCTATGCCTCTAAGGATAAGGGCAAGAAAAGGAAGAATGATAAGGAAGCTGCTAAGGGTCCAGTTGAGAAGAAACAACATAAGGATAATCAGGGTTGTTTCTTCTGTAAGAAGCCTGGACATGTAAAGAAGGACTGTACAAAATATCACGCCTGGCGTGATAATAAGGGTACGTTCCTTGCTTTGGTCTGTTCTGAGGTTAATTTAGCTTCAGTACCTAGAAACACTTGGTGGTTAGACTCTGGTGCTACTACTCACATAAGTGTTTCTATGCAGGGTTGCCTGAGCTACCGAAAGCCAAGTGATGTTGAAAGACACATCTTTGTGGGCGACGGACAATCGGTAGATGTGGAAGCAATTGGGCACTTTAGGTTGTTGTTAGGAACTGGTTATTATTTGGATTTAAAAGATACTTTTGTAGTACCGTCTTTTAGACGGAATTTGGTTTCTGTTTCTGTATTGGACAAATCAGGTTATTCTTGTTCATTTGGAAACAGTCAATTCAGTTTATCTTTTAATTCAAATGTTGTGGGAACCGGTTACTTGAGTATTTATGACAACCTATATTTGCTTGATACAATTGCTTCTTACAATGAATCCTTGCATGTGGAATCACGTGGTACTAAGCGTAAATTAAATAAGGAAAATTCGGCGACATTATGGCATAAGCGCTTAGGTCATATCTCAAAAGGTAGAGTTGAGCGTCTTGTGTCTGATGGCATTTTGGATTCCCTTGATTTTTCGGACTTCAACGTATGTGTTGAATGTATCAAGGGAAAACAGACCAAAGTGAAGAGATTAGGTGCCAACAGATCTTCGGATGTCTTAGAATTGATACATACGGATATTTGTGGGCCATTCCCTACGGAATCCTGGAATGGTCAACAATATTTTATATCATTCATAGACGATTACTCACGTTATGGGCACCTATATCTTATTCATGAAAAATCTGAGTCTCTGGACATGTTCAAAGCCTATAAAGCTGAAGTTGAGAATCAACTCAACAGAAGAATTAAAACCGTCAGATCTGATCGTGGTGGTGAGTACTACGGTAGATATGATGGTTCAGGTGAACAACGTCCAGGACCATTTGCTAGATACCTAGAGGAATGCGGTATCGTCCCACAGTACACCATGCCGGGTTCAGCTAGCATGAATGGTGTAGCTGAAAGACGAAACATGACTCTTAAGGATATGGTAAGAAGTATGATTGCTCATTCTTCTTTACCAGAGTCACTCTGGGGAGAAGCACTTAAGACAACAGCTTACATTCTGAATAGAGTACCAAGTAAAGCAGTTGCTAAAACACCTTATGAGCTTTGGACTGGTCGAAAGCCCAGTTTAAAGCATTTACATATTTGGGGATGTCCAGCTGAGGCAAGGCCTTATAGGCCAAATGAAAAGAAATTGGACTCCAAAACAGTTAGCAGCTACTTTATTGGATACTCTGAACGCTCTAGGACTCCAAGACAGTTAGCAGCTATTTTATTGGGTACTCTGAACACTCTAGGGGCTATAAGTTTTATGATCCCATTATAAGGAATATTTTTGAGACAGGAACAGCAACATTCTTTGAGGATGTTGAGTTTGGGGGGAGAAATAAGGTTAGAGACATTAGTTTTGAGGAGGAATTGGCTTCAGATCCAATCCATACAGTTACTTTTGACAATATTCAGGTTCCTATACCTGTTGTTGCTCAAGAAGTAAATCCGGAACCTCAAGATGATAATGTTGAACAACTCCCTGTTCCAGAAGAACAAACTCAACAACCTCAAGAACCAGTGCCATTAAGGAGATCCACGAGAGAAAGGAGAAATGCTATTCCGGATGATTATATTGTATTTCTCCAAGAACATGAGGAAAGTAGTGGAATGTTGGAAGATGATCCAATCAACTTCTCTCAGGCCATGAAAAGTTCTAACTCTCAACAGTGGATTGATGCCATGAATGAGGAGTACAAGTCTATGCAAGACAATATGGTTTGGGAACTTGTCCCATTACCAGAAGGTGCAAAACCAATTGGTTGTGAATGAATTTTTAAAACCAAGCGGGATGCAAATGGTAATGTGGAGAGGTATAAGGCACGTCTTGTGGCTAAATGTTATACTCAAAAGGAAGGCATTGATTATACAGAGACTTTCTCTCCGGTTTCATCGAAAGACTCTTTCAGAATAATCATGGCACTTGTTGCTCATTATGATCTTGAGTTACATCAGATGGATGTTAAGACTGCATTTCTCAATGGAGACATTGATGAGATGATTTATATGGTGCAACCAGAAAACTTTGTGTCAGGAGACCCAAAGAATATGGTTTGCAAATTAAGGAAATCCATCTATGGACTCAAGCAAGCTCCTCGTCAATGGTATCATAAGTTTCAACAAATAGTTATCTCGTTCGGTTTTGAGATGAACATTGTTGATGACTGTGTATATCACAAGTTCAGTGGGAGTAAGTATATTTTTCTGGTTCTGTATGTCGATGACATCTTGCTTGCCACTAATGATATAGGCATGTTGCACGAAACCAAGAGATTTCTATCAAAGAATTTTGAGATGAAAGATCTTGGGGACGCCTCTTTTATATTAGGGATCCAGATACATCGAGATCGCTCTCGGGGTATTCTTGGATTATCACAAAAGAGCTATATCGATAAGGTACTTAAAAGGTTTGGCATGCAAGATTGCAGACCAGGTGACACCCCTGTTGCTAAAGGAGACAAGTTTAGTCTCAATCAGTGCCCTAAAGGTAACCTTGAAATTCAGGAAATGCA